AGTGCAGAAGCGCGAGCAGTGGAAATGTCAGAACTGCATCACGTCATCTATTGATCAAGTAAAGGGAAGCATCATCTCCTGTAACTTGTACCTAGACAGTTTATTGCACAAATGGGCTTCATGAACCATTCTCTTGTTCACAGAAACTAAGCCAATTAATATCATGGTCATCTTCGAATTCGAAGGACGAACACCAACTACAGTAGATAATAATTTAACGCCATCAAATATGGTTGTCGTCCGCTACCACTGCAATTATTCTATTGTAATTGTTACCACTCTTTTCTCTAAGTATCTCGAATTTAATTGAATTAATGAGGGAGAAGTGAAAACTGAAGAAAAATACTTCTAAACTGACATTACGATGGATGAATTGACTCCGTTTTTTTTCTGTACACGAGTGGCAAAGCTATTGACATAGATCCAATATTATCTATTTTAATTTATTTTGTAAATAAACAAAAGTGACGCACTTCTTTAAATCATATGTCCGACATTTTTATATGAGTCTTATTTTTACAATTTGCTACAATTGTTACACTTAAACGTTTCAGCACTTACAGACTGTAAAAAATAAACTGACTCAATTTAAAAGATCAATTGATAACATATTTATGTAATACTGAAATAGATGCAATGTCCGCAACATTAAGATAAATAACGTTTGAAGACAACCAACGAAACTTGCGAAAAATATATAAAAGATATTCAGATTGCTGTATCAATGACCGACTTAAATGAGAGAGCGTGGGAAAAAGGCAAAAAGACATTTACAGACATGTTCCGTATTTGTAATAAAAAAAAATGAAAACTTGAGAGAAAGAATGTGAACGGAAACTGGTTCTTTTACATTCTACTGAAATATTAAATTTATATATTAATTAAGGACTGATTTTTGAAATAATGGCGGGGTTTCAGTGACGCGTGGCTATAAAACTAGCGCGATAAAATTTGTTCAAAAGTAAAATTCCAAACGCGAAAGGTCTTGGGCTGCTATTTTACGTTATGAAGAGAGATGATGTTAAATAACTTTTCAAATCTTCGAAACAATTATCAGGAAGAATTATATTTCCACCACCATCATCCCTAACGGAGCAAATTTCATTCCCACATTCTCAAAGTTATGATTTCATTATTTCTATTTTCTAAGTAAATACAGGCAAAATTATAAATAATAAAATAATACATTTGAGTATAGGAACAAAGAGCTATTATTGATTATTGGTTATGTCCTTGTTACTTCAGGTGTTCTGTATGTAATACGTACAAAATGGTTTGCCCCCATATCCAGTTCAGAGCATGGCTTTTTCTTTTCTTTCGAAAACTGTCTTCCATGATTTTACTTCAAAATGAGTTCAGCCAGAACACATGCATATCCTTGACCATGATGTCAGTGTTCAATAATGTTGAACACAAAACAAATCCTTCGAAACAAAGATGAGATTAATAAAGAAAAGTAGCAGAAAATATGAATTATACATGCTTAAAATTCGTAGTAGTAACAGTTGTATTAGTAGCAGTGTTAGTGGTAAAATTACAACTGCTTCCTATACTACTACTACTACTACTACTACTACTACTACTACTACTACTACCTACCTACCTACCTACTACTACTACTACTCATACTACTACTACTACCACCACCACTACTACTACTACTAATAATAATAATAATGATAATAATAATAACAACAATAATACATAATACATGCTTAAAATTCGTAGTAGTAACAGTTGTGTTAGTAGCAGTGTTAGTGGTAAAATTACAACTGCTTCCTATACTACTACTACTACTACTACTACTACTACTACTACTACTACTACCACTACTACTACTACTACTAATACTAATAATAATAATGATGATAATAATAATAACAACAATAATACATAATACATGCTTAAAATTCGCAGTAGTAACAGTTGTGTTAGTAGCAGTGTTAGTGGTAAAATTACAACTGCTTCCTATACTACTACTACTACTACTACTACTACTACTACTACTATTACTACTATTACTCATACTACTACTACTACCACCACCACTACTACTACTACTACTAATAATAATAAAAACAATAATAAGAACATTTATTATTATTATTATTATTATTATTATTATTATTATTATTATTATTATTATTATTATTATTATTATTATTATTATTATAAACTTGTCATATATATTGTTCTTAACTAACGAACTCAAACTAATAGCGGAGAGTTTTGTTACGTTTTCGTCCAAATATGAACGCTCTAAGTCTGCAATGTATAACACTTATAACGAAATGATCCGTTTTATTTACATGTGGGGGCGGGGGAGACCAATTCTAAATATCTCAGTTGAAAGCGAATTCGGTTTGTCTATCTCACTCTGGCTGGCTTACATTCCTCTAGAAAATATCTCAAGAGACCCCCTCCACTCCGAAAACTATATAGCCTGTACTGTTTATGCCAGTATAATTTGTAATATAGAAAAACTGTAACTAAAGTGGGTTGATTAAACGCACTCTGCAGTTGAGACCATTTGAAAGACATTGTACTGACATTTGTACTGACATTAGTCAAGTTATTTATATCAAGTCTTGACCTTGAAACCCACCATTTGCTAGCTTGTACACTATTGATATCATTGGCAGGGAAACTTTCAGTACGATGCCAACATCAGGGCAAGATAGTTAACAGCAGGGCAAGTAAACATAAAACACGCTTACTCAACAAACGAGAAAATATTTGGTTGACTTGAGAAATTAAAAAATGGTAACCCAACCCAATTCCCCCCAAAACAAAAATAGACAAACTGCGCTCTTGAAAATGGTTGGGTGATTCGCAGTAATAAAAAGAAATGCACGTTCTTAACATACTCATATACGCCAGCAAATGACTAAATATTTACATGTGTTTATGTTTTATTCCTTTTAATCCGAAGTTTCCCAAATGTTGGATATGGCATGAATATATGTCAATACATTCCATTTGGCCATCGCCTTGGCATACATGACACGTGCAACGCATGATTCAAGGATTGTACAATTTTATGTCATATTCACATCTCAGAGCGGTCGAACCCCAATCCCAACCTGGCCACCAGCTACTTCGAGTCCGAGGAGCCCTCCCCTCCCCATAACAATATAAAAGAAGGGGAGACAAACTCTAACTGTTGCAGTCTGGAATCGAACCAGGTTCGCCTGTCTGACAGCTGGCGTACATACCACTAGAATGAAAGGTCCGGACCAGCTAGGCTTATTAGTCTCGTATAACTTGACCAAAATATATACACTTAAGTTCAATACTCAGATAGGTAGACTAAGAAGTGATATTTGACGTATTAGTAATTGATTGGTGCAGGTTGGTTAAATGAAACAAATATTTTACTTTCATAAACTCACAACTCTTATTTAAAAAGGTCATTTCATCCGGCTCACCTCTGCGTGGGTTCGATTCTCTGGCTCGACCAGTTTGGATACGTGAGAAAGCTTGCCAGTAGCTTCTCGTGGGTCGGTGGCTCTTTCAGGTGCTTTCCCGGGTTCTTCTTTCACCAGTGCCGGATTACCCAATAGACAGAGTAGCCATTGGCCTATGGGCCCCACGCCTTTTAGTTGCCCCGCGACAACGGATCAAAATGATATTGAACTGATTTGATTTTGACGTATTAAGAAATAATTTGAGAGGGAGGCCACGAGATTTCGACTGCCTGGAGGCATCCTCAGGGTTTAATCCAGCACTGTTCCACCATTTATACTGGCCGCCATGAATAGCCTATCTTGTGCTGGAAAATTGCGTTAAACCCTACAACAGCAACAACAACAACAATTCATTATTTTATGGAATCGAGGTGGACATTGATTAAACATCTCACCAACACCAACGAAGTGTAGCATTCAATTGCTACTAACTGTGATATGGAAACCAATTCAATGTGCCCTCCATTTCAGAGTTCACTCTATGCCGCACGTATGTTTCTCAGAGATTTATCAACATACTATCGTGAGTGTTTGCTTGGGCTATTTTGGAGGTAATTTTCTTACGATCATAGCAATTGTAAACTTTTAAATCCATCAAATTTACTGAAGGTTCGCTTATGAAAGAAACCTGAACTACAACCATCAGTAACTTAAGACCCCGGATAAAGAGATAATTACAAGATGGCTGCCAACTTTATATCGCACGTAAGCTGGTAATACCTTTTATTGAACTGTATTAACAACAAAAGGCGACCGGCTTTGACATAACTTTCATCTAAGATCAAAAGAAGTCTGCGTGGATTGCAGATGAAGCAAGAATTGTAGTTAGAAATTAATTTTCTCCTGAAGGATTATTCCAGAATTCGTGACTTAAGAATAATGGAAAATTTATCCGCATATAGGGGCAATTGAAGAGTTTTCGTCATTCTATTGGGTAACAATAAAAGCAAAATCATTTTAGTTAGAAAATAATATTGCATCCTTCGATATACAGACTTTAAGAACATAATTAATTTTGGTGTCCACGAATCAATAATATAACGTGTTTACAATATCAAGTATATTCTATGTTGTATACCAATTCTTGATATCTTGTACAGAGGACACATGATCAACTAAAATACAAAAAAAAATCCGGTTAGTAAACCAGGAGAGCGGAAAATTAATATTTTGGGGTATTTACATTTTGTGTAGTGATATGAAAACACACACACACACACACACACACACACACACACACACCTCTAGTGAATATATATGCAAGCTGATTATTCAATCTTTCGTGCTTTTATATTTTCAGATTACGAGAGCAATAAAATTCACAATCAATAATTATCAGTTATTGACTGTGAAGTTTAGTGTTTAGTGTTCAGTTATTGACTGTGAAGTTTAGTTCCTTTTAAGTGGTTTATTTCATGCATCCGTAGTTACTATTACCTTCAAGAACTGTCACTGCCATTTTGGTTTATTTGATGCATTAGTGGTACCATTACCTTCAAAACCAAGCACAGCCATTATCAATTTTAATGAACCGCTCCTGTGGAATAGTGGTTAGAGTGTCCGCCTCGGATGCGAGAGGGCATGGGTTCGATCCCCCTTTGAGTCATACCAAAGATTTACAAAAATGCTACCAATAGCTGCCTCGCTTGACGCTCAGCATTAAGAGGTTAGTGTTCGGACTGGTCGGCCTGGTGTCAGGATAATGTGACTGGGTGGGACATCATGCTACATGTCTGCGGCATGATGCCTCAGTGCTAGACGTCACTATAAAATACCACACTGCAGACATCATAGCGATATGACTGAAAAATTGTTAAAGCTACGTTAAAAATCATAACCATAATCACACATCAATTTTCAATGCCCAATAGTTATGATACTGGGAACTAATTTATTGTTGTCTTTGCATGTAGTAAATTTGGAAATTTAAGAAAAACAATTTTGGAATCTATTATAGAGTAAAATAAAGCAATTTACGCAATAGCAAATTATTTATTCGCGATTTCGAAAACAATCTGAAGTAGCTGTTGAGATAATTAATTCTCTATGGTTCAGAGGCTATTCTTAATTTATTCTCTTTTGTTCTCTATGAGTGTTTGTTTAAAGAACTTATTTAAATTTGTATACTTTATTCTCCATTTTTCAACAAGATTAAAATTTCATGTTATCGTGCTTTTAAATACAGAGAAATATATATATATATATATATATATATATATATATATATATATATATATATATATATATATATATATATATATATATATATATATATGTGTGTGTGTGTGTGTGTGTGTGTGTGTGTGTGTGTGTGTGTGACAAATTGGCGGCGTGCAAACTACACCAACCTCTTTCACTACGGTTCGTTGCTAGGGAATGACCTCCGCGGTGTACTTTACCCAGTGTGGATAGATAGAAAGAAGAATGCAGATCACTGAACAAGTATATTGAAAAAAACAAAACGAGCCCCATTTCAATGAACAAATATAAAATTTAATCAGTTTATCAACAGAATTTAAAATGAAAAGAAATCAATGACTTGGTTACAAAAGAAGGAAAATGGTACTAACATGTACTCAAATAAAAAAAGACAATACAAATTCCTTTAAATGTAAAATTACTTTCAACGTTAAATTACTATCTTCATTGCCAATGAGATGTGACCTTTGAGTGCAACGATGAGAGACTTCATCGCCTATTTTATGCGGACATCAAGACTTCCGTTCGTCCCTGCTCTGCCGATCTTTGTCTAGCTGTTTCGTCTTGGACTCTTGTCAGTCGAACTCTGACTTAACAATCGTCTCTCAACTTAGATTTCTGCGTAGAAGTTGTTCTGGTCCTGTGATTGTTCAGGGATTTCTCATGTGAATCCAGGAAAGCTGTTTCCTTTTGCCGTTTCTTTATTCGTTTCCACGAATCTCATGTATAGTCCGTCTCCTAACTGAGACAACTATCTGGCCCCTTACTCTATAATGAAAACGTACTTTTTACGAATTCAGAATGTAGAGTTTGCCTACTCGATGAGACAAAACTCTCGCTTTACTGTCAAATCACGAGATAACGTCTTACACGATCCCAGAATTGTTTAACTTTTCTTGCGAAAGATTAAAGACTAAAGAATTTTCCTAAAGTAAAACCTTTAATTTCTTACAGAGTAACGCCCATAAATCCATGTTAACCAATCGGAATAGATTGTATCCTAAAACTGTTCCGTAGAATTTTTGGATTGACAAGACAACTAAACAACTAATCATGCCGTAATTAACATTACTTTGAACAATCATCTATAGCCAGTTCCTGCCCTTTAACCGGTCGATTTTGGGCAAGGGTCTTATGTCATTCTCTTGTACCATAGCATCTGACTCGGTCATGTTACGTCGGCTAGAACGAATTCCCCTTTGACGTTCAGAGATGAAATGAAAATAATCATCTATCTCTAGCCCTTTCTACTTTAATTAAGTTGACTTTGATACAATTTCTTTAACCAAAGCTTCTAAGAGTTTTCAAAATTTGACACATCATCACAATATATATATATATATATATATATATATATATATATATATATATATATATATATATATATATATATATATATATATATATATATCATCAGCGATGCATTTTTGTCAACAGCAGAAACATGTAATGAAGTTGTTTAAAATTGGTATAATACAATCAACGCCTTTTCTTGAACTACTTTTCAATGTCGATGGACTTGAAATTTTTTTATGCAGGTTGTCTGGTTAAAGTGTCCATTATGGTGAACAATGAAAATTGACCGAATTGCTAGTCCCTTAGTATTCTAATTTCTCGCATTTATTCAGCCAGGTATGTTACAGACTCGTGACTCAAACGATTGGAGGATTATTGAAAAGTGGTGTTCGGGAAAGTTTACATTCAGAAACGAAGCATTTACCGTAAATAGATAAACTGTAAATAATGACCACACGAAGCATATTTCGTAACCTAACGGAGGACCGAAATGTGTCTAAATTTCAAAGTGGTATAAAACATGCTTTAAATTTCTGAGGTCTTACTCTAAATAACTGACATCATTTTATTGATTATTCTGGGTATTTTAGGCCTGGAGATCACATGACTGGCAGTTTTAGTTTGAAACTGAGTTTATATTCTTGCCGAATCAATTGCGCCTTGTTGAAAGTGAAATAATTTATTGATTACTGACAAAGTAATTCGAATTTATTCCTAAATTTGGTAGTTTTATTTAGTTTTCTTTCTGAATTTAAATCACAGGTTTTTTTCTCCTAAAACGCAACATGTTTTATCTCTCATTGTCACCATTAGGATCGGCACTAAAATGCCTCTAAGATCATTTTCTAAACACTGTCGAAGAGGTTCTATGCTCGATCGTGGTAGAATATATATATATATTAGGCTCAAGGGATTCTTGATACACAACTACGAATTTCAGTTGCCTTCTACTGTTAATAGTGCCTATTGATTAGGCTTTAGTTTTCATATTATGACGGGCTTCAGACTCTGAATAAATCTTCCATGTTCTTCCCTTAAGCTTATGCTAACTATCACGAACCAGTCTGTCACAAGGTTATTATGAACGCTTCATCCTAAGTCTGCCCTGAATGTTAACGAAGTAGGGATTGTCCCTTGAAAAGCTTAGATGCTTTTTGCAGAATAATAAAAACACAAATCGTCCAAGTTAAACTTCTTTCCACCTCCTTGCAGCTTAATAAAAGATTATTTCTTGATTCTAACTGCTAATACAAAGACAGAATTGCAGCTTATGCTGCCAAAGTACTTTTGTTTCTCGCGTAGTAACTTTGTCGATGTGAATGTAGCTATACTCATCGAAGCTGCAAATCTTAAATGGTGTAATTGTTGGTGTCTTGTTGCTCATGTTAGCATAACATATATCGTCTTAATTTTATCACAGAGAGAATAAAAATATACCAAATTCATATTTCTGGTTTCTAAAAGAAGTGTCACAAAATATGAAATCCTGCAATCATGTGACAAAGTGTGTGTGTGCCTGTGTGTGTGTGTGTGTGTGTGTGTGTGTGTGTGTGTGTGTGTGTGTGTGTGTGTGATATTTGGATTTTTAACGTAGCTTTAATAATTCTCCAGTCATACTGCTACGATGTCTGCGGATGAGGTTGTTTAAAGTGATGTTTAGCAATGGTTCGACATGCCGCAGACAGGTAACGTTATTTTCCACGTACTTACATTATCCTGAACTAGGCCGACAAGTCCTACCACTAACCTCTTAATGCTGATTGCCTGGCGAGGCAGCTGCTAGTATCCATTTTAGAAATCTTTGAAATGACTAAACCGGGGTTTGCACTTGCGACCTCCCGCATCTGAGGTGGATGCTCTAATCTATGATTCCACTGTTACAGTCCCTGACAAAGTAATAAGCAATGTTTGTGCATATATAATAATATGTGTGTGTATATATATGTGTATATATATATGTGTATATATATGTGTATATATATGTGTATATATATGTGTATATATATGTGTATATATATGTGTATATATATGTGTATATATATATGTGTATATATATGTGTATATATATGTGTGTATATATATGTGTATATATACGGTATATATATATGTATATATATACGGTATATATATATGTATATATATACGGTATATATATATGTATATATATTTTTCTATATATTTTTATATATATGTGTATATATATATATGTGTATATATATATTTATATATATATATATATATATATATATATATATATATATATATATATATATATATCAGCATAACATTTCTCCGGCGTGCACCAAAGAAGCTGATTTATTTAATGTCTAACATAAATGCATAAAATAATAAGCAATGACTGCATAATGGATGTTTAATTATTAAAAGAAAGGGTTCATGATGGGTATTCTCCTTTTTGATATTTACAGCATCAACGTACTACTTAAGATCATTATATACTTCATGTTTCTTCATGTTTAATAAATTGCATTGCATTAGTTATTGGTGGTTCAAATTATCTACGATATTTTATGGGTTAACTTAAACTTGAACTGTTGATATGTTAGTCTTAAACTTGAACATTTAGATATATAAGGCATTAACTTGAACATTTATATATATATATATATATATATATATATATATATATATATATATATATATATATATATATATATATATATATATATATATATATACAAGGTATTAACTTGAACACACTACATATTAATAAATCAGCAGGGGTTTCGTTTCATTTTCAGGACTTAACTTTGGTATGGCAGCTTCTGAAAGCTGGTCATGTTTAATATAGTTTGGAGTATATGTGATACAACGATATGTTATATTGATATTAAATCCTTGCGATATGTTTTCAAGTTTGTAAAGAATTATCTATTTTCACTACTTTGCTATAGTTACTATTCATAACCAAACATGTACGGGTTGAAATTCTAGCATCTGACCATGCTTAGTCACTTTACTCTGATTTCCTTGGCACTAAATAACTTACTATGTTACCCTGCCGTAAATTACCAAACCATTCATACAAACATGTAACCATCCTCCATACTAATTCCTATTACATGTTCAACGACCATGTGGAAACGTTTA